CTTGGGCCAGTGAAGCAACGTCCTCCACAACTAGACTGAAGAACAAAACGACAGCAACTTGTCTGTTCCCCTTCCCCCGATTCCCCAGCACTGTTCCCATCCCCCCAATTCCCCAATAAAAATCTTTAAAAAAAAAGTGACATAGCCAGTTTAAAAAAGATCTAAATAGAAATTCTAGACATGAAAAATAAAATATAGCAATCAAAATTAAAATTTTAAATTCCATTGATAGGTTCAATAGAGATTATAGCTAAAGAAAAATCAGGTAACCATAGATATGTCTGAAGAAAAACCCACAATAAAACACAGAAAGACAAATTGAGGGAAAAGATGGTAAGGACAGAAAATGAAAAAGGAAAATAAAAACACAATAGGCCAGACAAATAGAAAACACAAAATAACATGGCAGATTTAACTTAAATATAACATTAGTTATCATTAAGTATAAATGAACTAAATATTCTAGTTAGAGGTTAAAGATTGACAAGTAGGATTTAAAAATATAAGTAGATGCTGTTTGCAAGAGATACATTAAAACAAAAGAATAAGAGAGATTGAAAGTAAAAGGATGAAATTATATACTATGCAAACACTAACCAAAAAGAATCTACGTCAGTTGCCAGATAGTAGGGGGTTGGGGGCATGGGTGAAAAAGGTGATGGGATTAAGAAGTACAAATGAACAGTTACAAAACAGTCATGGGGATGTAAAGTACAGCATAGGAAATATAGTCAATAATGTTGTAATAACTATGTATGGTGTCTGATGGGTACTAGATTTATTGGGGTGATCACTTTGTAAGTTATACAAATGTCTAATCACTATCTTGTACACCTAAAACTAATATAATGTTATATGTCAACTATAATTGACAAATAAAAAATTATTTTAAGAAAGAATCTATATCACTAAATTGGTATCAGACAAGATAGACCTTAAGGCAAAAAAAAATAGCGTTACTTGAAATAAAGAGGGTCATTTCACAATAATAAAGGCTCAATTCATCAGGAAGACATAAAAATTCCAATTTTCTATATACCTAACACAAAGGCTCAAAATACATGACTCAAAAATGTGTAGAATTAAAAGAAGAACTAGACAATCATTGTGGGAGATTTTAACTCACCATCTCCCACTTGGTAATTGATAAGAACAAGCAGAAAATATAAATATATATTAAGTATATATATTTATATGTATTTTATATATTATCTATGTGTGTGTGTGTGTGTGTGTGTGTGTGTTCTATCCAAAGGTTACATAAAAAACACCCAACAGCTTCAAAATACACATGCTTTTTTTTATTATGAAATACACATTTGTTAGAATTAGTTTCAGTTGTACAACACAGTGCAATAGTTATACTTTTTACCCCTCAAAGTGATACACATGCTTTTTAAGCACATGAAACATTTGTAGAAATTTACCAGATCATGGATCATGGAGCAAATCTTAATTTCAAAATATTGAACTATACAGAGGATGTTCCCTGACCTCAAAGCAATTAAACTAAAAGTAGGTTAGGAATAAATCAGAAATTCCTTATATGTTTGTAAATTAAGGAACACATTTCTAAATAATCCATAGGTCAAACCAGCAATCACACAGGATATTATAAAATATTAGTAACAAAGCATATCAAAACTTGTCAGATGCAGCTAAAGTCCCGCTGAAAGAGAAATTTATGGTCTTAAATATGTATATCAGAAAAGAAAGACTGAATTCATATAGATAGGAACTAAGTATCTACATGAAAAACAAAAAAACCCCCAGCAAATTAAACCCAAAGAAAATAGAAGAAAAGCAATAATAAAGGGAGAGCAGAAATCAATGAACTAGAAAATGAAAAGACAGTAGAATAAAACTAAAAGCTGCCTCTTTGGGAAAATGAATTAAATAAATGGCGATATATGACACAATGAAATACTACATAGCAATGGAAAGTATGAAAACAAGTTTGCATGCAACAGCACGGAATTACCAACAACGCTGAGTAAAAAGAAGCAAGACCAATAAAATATATAAGTTAGGGTTTCATTTATAGAAAGTTCAAACTAAACTATACTATATCATTGAGGGATGCCTACCCCAGTGGTAAAGCTATAAAGAAAAGCAAGGAAGTGAATATCATAAAAGTCAGGCTCACGGATACTTTTCATTGATGAGGAAGGGGTGTGACTGAGAAAAGCCCCTTGAGGGACTTCCTGGGTGCTGGCTACATCCTAGTTTTTTACTTGAGTGGTGGTTGCATAGCATTCACTTTGTAATTATTTATTACAATCATTCCTTATACATATATGTTTTATGCACTTTGCTTTATTGGTGCTATAATTGGTCATTTCAAACATTCTTTTTATCAAAAATATACACACATTTTGTATCAAATTTTGAAACATTCTAATAATCTATTACAGTTCTCTTGACCATCCAAAGTACAATAATTTCATTTTGATTCATCTTACCCATATTGATAAGGCACAGCTTACATAAATAAACAATTTGGGGCTCATGAGGTAGATCAAAGTTGCTCCTAAAACACATATATACAAATGATAATTATTAAATAGTAAAATATATATATTTATTTAAAGCAAATGTTGTCAGTTAACTCAGAAAAAGCCAAATCCTGCAAATTTGCTCTTAGAGAGTAGCCCGGTGCTAAATAATAATAGACCACAGTAAAATACATGGTTTTGCTCAACATACTAGGGGATTCTCAGGACATTTAGGTTTTTTTGTTTGTTTGTTTGTTTTTCAATTCAAAGCAGTCTTCATTTGTCACCGAGTTATCACTAGGGAAATATTCAACCATATCCCTTTTCTCAAGTCTAGCGATAGAAACAGAGAGGTAATCAGACCATTACACTGCAAGACGTGCTTTAAAGGAAGTAGCCCAGAGTGTAATGGAAGAATAGAGACATGGCAGCCAACTCGACCTCGGAAGGCAGGACGGGGGCTTTGAGTGGACGTGACCGCTGAGCAAAACCTGAGGGCCAAGAGTGAGTTGAACTAGTGAGGAGGTTTGAAGGTGGAGCTAGCTTTCTAGGTTGGGAAAACCATGGGTGCAAAGGTCTGAAGAAAAGAGAAAGCATAACTGCAAACAAGAAGATCCAGAGGTTTGGGGTATAAAGTACAAAAGCTAGAGTAGGAAGTGGGAGGATGAAGCAAGTCCAAAGGGAGCGTCCCTCTTTCCCAGAGGGAACAGGGAAGAGAGGGGCGTCAAAGCCACAGTGTCTCTCTGTGGATTCCCAGCTGCAAGGGCCTTCGCCTCTGGCCTTTTAAACACACCCACTATTCCCAACAGCTGTGGGCTAGAGCCTGTCTCAGCTGTTCACCCAGGAACTCTCTCCTGCTCCCCTCCCGCCCATCTGATCATCACTGCTTAATTCCACCTTTCTGACACACTCACCAAAATGGCACCTGGTCCTCATCTGGGCCAGCCACTGACGCCCCAGCTGTCCTGGTCTCTCCCTGGAAACTCCAGTATGTCTTCCTCATTGTAGAGAGCCTGGTTGAAAGCCCTCTTCATCTGCTGCCACCAACCTCCACAGCCCTGATGTAGTGCTGGAATTCCATGTCTCTCCCTCTCTTCCTCTCTTCCTTCCTTCCTTCCTTCCTTCCTTCCCACCTGCCTGCCTGCCGTCTTTTATAGATTCACACATTCAAAATTCCATAAGCATCTACTATCTTTCAGGTATTTTGCCAGGCAGTGGGGATAAAGTGGTAAAAATAAAACAACAAACAAACAGACAAACAAACAAAAATGTTACACAGGGTTCTTACTCTTCTATTATTCAGGATAACTAATAAACAATTAATTAAGACTCAGTGCCATGAGTTTCATATTAGATGGCACCGGGTGCCACCAGTCACCTCACAAGCCAGTCATGGAGGAACCATGGCAGGTCACTTGAGTGGCCCCCTGGA